CCATTGACTGGATCTACCATCCTCACAATGAAATGATATCAATCGGCACCATCCCAGAAGATGAGTGGATACTGCAAAGCATCGTAACAACGGTGAGTTTCTGCGACGTTTACCAATCGATCGTTTCGTCGATGGAGAACAAATTCTATAGGTTCGAACTGATCCCCGCCTATGACAATTGCCACTTCGTCTATAGTTGGAGCATTGTATCTCCTGATATGTTCTCCAGCAGGCGTTTTGTCTGCATGAATGACAATTTTATGGGTATCCGAAGGCATCATATCGATTGCTGTTTTGAACAAACGCACCAAATGGTTCCGTTCGTTAAAAAGCTTCTGTAGCTGCGAAATAATGGGCTTCTTCAGCGAGGTATTGATTCCATAACGTGCATCGACTTCAGCTCCATCATCACCAATGAAGTACATTTGAAGAAATTTGTGTTTGCTGTCTGAGAACGGAAGCAGGGAACCGGCTTTGTGATAGATTTGTCCTTTGATTTTAAAAGTTGGCATGAATTGCGCAGTTATAATTTCCGCACCAAATGACGTCATTTGGAAGCAAGAGTTGTATTTCCTAATGTTCGACAGGAAATGCTTCGATTCAGCAGTAGATCCAGCTAATAGAGAGTGCAGAGGCTCTGGTGGTGCTTCAAGTTGAGGCAATTTCACTTTCCCGGAAGCGCAACACAATTCTTTTGGTTCGATGTTGAATTTGAGAGCCTGACAGTGTGTGCAGACCTGATTCATCCGGCCAATAACGACATTGCGATTCGAGCTGTAATCAAAAGTTGGATTATATCGGAATGCAAGACGATTGTATTGCAGGTTTCGATCTGTTGCAAGCTGTAAAACCGCTTCAGCTACCCTTGCCCTGTCGCGTTCATTATTTTGAGACCGAATCAAATCGATTGCTGCAGAACGCGACTGCCTAACTCTCAATCTTGTTCGCTCAAGCCTAGCTGCTCGCGTTTCTGCTGTCTCCGCGTTGTGCATGGCCGCATGGCTCTCAACCGCTCAGTCTCTCGAATGGAGGCCCGCTCTTCGTCAGTCTTAATCGAAATGTTACATCTTTTTGCTTTTGTATTGCGAGTAAGGCGACCAAAATTCGACTTCTTGAGTGGCATGACTTCGTTTCTAATGACTTCGTTTCGGACATTTTGACATTTTCATTTGACATTTTCTTCTTAGCTGTCTGCCTAAATAGAAAAGTAAGAGCACAGGGAAACGCGAAAAAAACTGATATATTCGCAAACGCAGATAAGCTATCAACATCAAAAGTAGACATAAACCGAGCTGGAACCTCAACGCATGTTGGGTGAAAATTTGGGCTTAAACGGTTCAGAACTTTTCAAGTCTATAAATTACGTAGATACGAACAGAGCATTTTTATATATATAGATGTCTTTTTATAGTTCTTGCCCTCTGCAAGCTACGTAATCTATCAATGGGATGGCATTAAAGAAATTAACTCAGGTTAATGATCTCGGCGTCCTATTAGACATTAAACTTAAATTTTCCGACCATATTTCCTTAATGGTTAATAAGTCTAAAGGAGTCCTTGGTTTTATTAAAAGGTGGTCAAAAGAATTTAATGACCCATACATAACCAAAACATTATTTATTTCTTTGGTCCGTCCGATACTGGAGTACGGTTCATGTGTCTGGAGTCCCCAATATGGAGTACATAAGGACCGCATAGAATCCGTACAAAAGAATTTTTTAATATTCGCACTTAGAGGTCTATACTGGGATGCAAATCTTCAGCTTCCATCCTACAGTAGCACACTTTTACTTATAAACTTACCTAGCTTAACAAACCGTAGGACAATGCTCGGTGTAGTCTTTCTGCATAACCTTATTAATAGCCAGCATTTACTAAGACGCTTAAAATGTAACATTCCTAATAGAAGGACTCGAAACTTTAGTCCTCTGTTCCTTAGCCATTGTAATTCGACATATGCACTGCATGACCCTTTTAGGGTATTATATTCGAACTACAATAGTCTCTACTCTACAACATCTTTTCCTGTCCCTCAAATTTAAAATATAGAATTTTAAATTTCCTTACTAACTCCTCCTAGCTTAATAAATTACAAATAGCTTAATATATACTAACAAATCGTTTCACGAGCGCCCCTCGGACGTCTGGGCCTCTAGGCTTTATGATGATTACAGGAGCTTAAATTAAATTTTTCATCAATTTTCTAACCACCAAACGTGTACAGTTGCACAGTTTTTGTTGGTTTATGTATCGAATTATGATTAACTCGGAGCCAACCCTGAGGCGTAAATTGTGCGGTGATAAGCCAGGCACATCAAAAGAGTTTAAAAATTCAATTGGATCAAATTCATTTGGGACGCAGTCAATAGATTTAAATGAATGCATTGTTTCAATGATCTTATTTTAAATTATGTAATTCAGGTTATCTATTCCGGTTTCTTCACATAGCGCCATAGATTTGACGCACGAGTTTATTTCGTTTATTTTAGTTTATTTCGTCGGCAGCCGTAGATCTTGGAGTTACTGGCAGTATTTGACGGAAATCGCCAGACAGCAAAATCAGTGCTCCTCCAAAACATCTCGAGTCATTGCGTAAATCTTTTTATGTTTGGTTTAGTGCTTCTAATGCCCGTTTACGCGCCATTGTGCTTTCGTCCCAGATGATGATTTTCGATGCCGCTAAAACTTTGGCCATGGCTGAGTGTTTTGCAATATTACACGATGGTTTTTTAATAGAGTCAATATTTAACGGTAATTTTAATTCTGAATGAGCCTTCTAACAATGTGTCTACTATTCCAGAAAAAGCAACTGCAACCGCTGTTTGATCTTCCCCTTGCCAGTCTTGAGGAATGTCTTGCCAGTACCACCAGGGGCATCTAGGAAACCACCATTTTCATCATCGATTGCCTTCATTGAAGTATCATGAACTTCCTTTTATTGGTAATTCAACAGGGGTTCAACTACTAAATTTAATGCTTGGTGATCAATGATCATATTGACGTTCCCGTTCAATTAAATGCGTCATTCATTTCACGATATGGCGCTGGCCATAATTCCTTACCTGATTAATAAATTACCGCATATGAGGTACACATATCTTCAGTCAAAAGTAAAGCACGATTATGTATCTCCTCATTTATCTCAATATCGTGATTTCTATTTTCCTTGTATTTGTGCCACAGGTTACATAGGTTTGATGCAAAACATGTCGATATTATGATAACGTATATGCGTATCTGACTTCTAATAAGTTCAATTCTTTACATGCATCACGATATGTTGGGAATACCATTGATAGTTCGTAGTGTGTCAAATGACGTTGGCCCACGCACATGTACCAGCAGCAACCGCAAATAAAAAAATTTTTTGGATGAACTGTACACATACGACCAAGAGCTTCTGTAGCTCATCTGGATACTCAGGAACCGCATCGCCTTACTTCCGTCTTTAAAAATTTTTCGATGAAGTATTCCAAGTATAATAACGTGGCATCTTCTTGTATTTTGCCACAAAGCACTGAATTCAATGGCTCATGTGGCGGAGTCAACAACGGCAATTTCACTTTACCATTAAGGCATCATAATGCAGACGTTTCTCCGGAGAACTTAAATGCACCACAATACTCACAAACAACGTCCATTTGCCTAATGCAAACGCTAGTATGCAAGCTTTAATCCTTGCTCCAATCGTTCGATTCAAATCCGCACTAGATATATATCTTGTTCTCGGTAGCAAATTATATATTTGTTGATCTCTTTTGTTCGCTTCTTGTGTGGCACGAAGTCGCCTTTGTCGGAAAAGGTTCGATCGTCTTGCTCGCGACATTGCTGACTGTAGATAAATGTATAAATACCTTAATGTATTAAAGATACGTTACGCTCTTAGCCTACTTACTTTAATTCCTTACTATAAGTGCAGCCACTTCGGTGGAGTATAATTCGCGGGGTCGAACGGGATAAAAAGTATCCTATTTCCGTATCCTGGTTCTAAGCTACCTCCCTACCAATTTTACTCAAATCTGTTCTGCCGTTCTTGATTTATGAGTGGTCTACAATTTTAGTCAAAAACGTGCAACGCAGTGAAGGAGACCTCTCATACCCTATAAAGTATATATATTCTAGATCAGTATCACCTCCTGAGTTGATTTGAGCATGTCCGTCTGTCTATGTTTTAAAGTTTATACTTCATAGAAACTTTTATAGATATATACTTTATAGAAACTTTTGAGAAACTAGTCTCTAGAAACTTTCCTGTTTTTTAAGATAAAAACTTAGAACTTCGTACAGATTCTGTTTTTGGTCAGTTGATCCGACCTACCAAATTTCATAACGATTATGAAATTCTATATCTATATAAAACTTTACCACATGGCCATATGGCCGTCAGTTATATGGCCGTAAGGCCGTCAGTTATGACCGACTATATCTTATAGATGCCATATAACTGAAAGATCCGAAATGGTTTTTGGTGTTTAGTAAAATACCAACTTTGTGTTTTTTTTAAGGTACAAGTTTGAGCCTTTTTTTAATTTTTGTATTATAATAATTGGTTATTTTATCATATTCTCAAAATGATCGGCCAATTATAACAGATTTTTGCGATAAATGTATATCTGGTTTTAACTGCAAGGGTATATCAACTTCGGCTCCGCCCGAAGTTAGCTTTCCTTTCTTGTTCTCTTGTTAACGTCTCCAATAGTAACTTTAAGATTTGGTAAAGGTACAAAAATCTACACTAAGAAAAAATTGTAATACTTAAAAAATGCTGGAACAAATATCTGTGAGTGGTTCAATAAAATTTATATCAGACATTTTTCCTTTCAATTTTTATGAAAAAAAATATATGAAAAATAAATGTTACTATTCATTTGCGCTACAAATATAATTGCCTAGAATAATTTTTTAAATTAATTTTCTCTCTTCAAAATCTGTGTAACAAGTTTAATTTTGACCAATGATACAATCATTTAGACTTAAATGCGACCAATTAAACTATGTAGTTTGTTTTAAATACTTTCTGTATTTACTTTTGCATTTGTTGTAAAAATATATTATTACGTGTAGTGTGTTTTATTGTAACAAATTATTATATTAGCTTTGACCACACATCCGGCCAAGGTACCAATAACGAATGTTTAATTGAATTAGTAAGAAATTGCCAAAAAAATGATGCATTTTTTGATTGATTCCAGCAGTCATTTAAACGAACGCGTTGATCAGTTAACCAGTTGTTTGGATTTTGATAATTACTTCTTTGCGAATAATTAGGCTCAAATTGCGCCAAGGGTCGGATGGACTGCATCTCATTCAGTCTTATCTCAGTAACGTAATTTTCTTCTATATTTAGCAAATCAACTTCAATATTTAAATAAGTGCAGCTTTTGCTTAAAGGTGATTCGGAAATTTCTTCTGTATCTACAAAAGCAGATTGAGTTGCATTAAGTTCGGATGACGATGCTGTTTTTATTGAAGAATCAATGTTTAAAGCCACACTCTTGCTATGCCACAATGTCCCAGGCACATGGCTAGCTATAAAGAAAGCACCAGCTAAAGTTATTACGCTGGCAGCATAGCTTAATGTCAAAACTCCAATGCTGTTTAGTAAAAATTTTGTCAATGTAAAGCAAGGTAATAGTCGAACAAGCTCGCTGTATGTTAACCATCCTCTTCGCAATCCTTCACGTTCGGCCAATGCACGTTCAATTCTACATAGTTTTTTAAAGAATTCTTCTTTGCATATATATATGTTCCAGTCCTAAAATATTTTTGATTAACAGACAAGTTAAAGAAATAAATAATACGCTTACGATAGAGGAAAGAAATTCGAGTTCCATTTCTTTAAGCCTCTCCTCCGTCATGCTGCCAGCTTTCGCCCAGTCTTCTAAAAAAAAACGCTCATCGTGGCCAATATAAAACTTGGTTGAAATCATCTGAAAGAACACATTATCGTACCTTGATATATTTAAATCACACGAAAATACTTATTTTAATAATATACCACCAAACCACCTACATACTGACATCTTTTTTCTGCTATCAAGTTTGTAATTTTATTTTCAATTGTGATATCACTGAGGTCATGTTTAAGCATGTTTAATTTTTAGGTTACCAAATTAAAGTTGTGTTTTCTATTAGATTTAAAAATGACACCTGAATAAAGAATTTAATTACTTTGATCTGGCTTATCAAATATATAAGATTCTCATGCCCAGTGTGAGTCATTATATTCCTCCGAAATGACTCGATCGATTTTAGTGAAATTTTGTGTACATATACATATATCCGTTAGGGCTGAGGATCGGACAACGTATATTTTTCATACCCTAAATGTTAAGAGGGGGATTAAAAAAATAATTTAATTATACTCCTCCAAAATAGCTGCACTTTTAGTAAAAAATAACAGTAAGTAAGTAGAGCGTAACTTATCGTACATATGTATATGTGTGCCATATGCCCCTGGAATAGGGCCTCGCAAAAAACTGAGTGCCAGGAGATTGGGGCCAGTCAACGAACGGTCAAATCTAAAGCCGAGCAAGATAGAAAAGCATGAAGATCAGGCGAACAAATCAAAGAAGATGTTGAAATTGCGCGATGAGCATGGCGCAGTTACGTGAATCACAATCGCATAAGGCACGAGATGCACGTAACCAACAAAGACAACTATAAAGGAAGAGAAGCGCTCAGATTCATAGTTAGAAGAAGAAGAATTGACCAACAACGCCAACAAGTTCATCGAGCATTTACATCAGGCCCATTTTTTCGACTAGCATTCCAGTACGAACCTGATGTACTGCTCATATATTCTGCTCAATATTCTGCTCATTCTAAAGTAATTATTGGTATTTGGAAAAAGGTAATTTCCTAACTATAGGATATAGTCGGCCGATCCGGGCAGTTCCGACTTATATACTGCGTGCAAAGGAAAGAAGGGTGTGTGCAAAGTTTTAAGACGATAACTTTAAAACTGAGAGACTAGTTTGCGTAGAAACAGACAGACGGACATGCTCATATCAACTCAGGAGGTGATCTTGATCAAGAATATATATACTTTATAGGGTCTGAGATGTCTACTTCATTGCGTTGCACCCTTTTAGCAAAATTATAATACCCTCTGCAAGGGTATAACAAAAAAGAAAAGCTAACTTCGGGCGCAGCCGAAGTTGCTATACCCTTGCAGTTAAAACCCGATATATATCTTAAAAATCGGATATAGTTGGGCGCTCCTTCTGAGAATATCATAATATAATCAATTCATTACGATACAAAATTTAAAAAAAAAAGTCCCAAACTTCTACTTCAAAAATTCTAATGTTGGTATTTTGGTAAAATGTTGGTAAAACCCATTTCCGATCGTTCAGTTATTTGGCAGCTATAAGATATAGTCGGCCGATCGTTATGAAATTCGGTAGGTGGGATAAATCAAAATAGAAACTTTACGAAGTTTCAACTTTCTGTCTTCAAAAACGTGACCACAAAACAAAACAAAATTTGGGTCATTTCCGATTATTCAGTTATATGGCAGCCATAGGATATACTCGGCCGATCCCGGCCTTAAAATATATATACTTTATAGCAGTCATGCCCAGCCCATTGCTCTTGCCGCTCGCATTGTTTTTGTTTCTGCTCCTAAGCATAGGCAAAGCAATCGCGGTATACATGCACGGCTCACTCCATAAGCAAAGCTGACTACACTAACAATTTTGCGAATTCTCTTCATTCTTCGCGTCTTCGTTGATTTCGTCAACAACACTTTCATAGGCTTCGCCGTTATCACGCTTGCCCGAATGTAAATTGTTGTTGGATCGTCAAAAAATTTACATAGCGAAAAACCAGTCGTATTTCGCGTCGCAGACAAGATGTTTGCCATTGAAGAAACAAATTTTTTTTCTTCTGAAAATTGCTTTTGTGAGCCCTGGTGTATTGTTTGCTTTAACGTGTTAATAAATAAAATAAAGTTTAATTTTCAAAGGCATTTCACAACATATTATGGTGACATAGCTTCATTATCAGCTGAACAGATAGCAATTAAATACAAAGAATTACTTTCCGTTTTTTTTTTTGTTTCTGACGCTCTGATAAAGCGTATTGAAAAAAATTCTAATGAAATAAATGAGCAATTTTCTCAAACACAATTTAGTAAGAAAAACTCTCCATCAGTCAGAGCTTCATATGTAGCAAGTTTACACATAGCTCAACATTTAAAACCATTTTCTGATGGGAATTTTATAAAAAAAAAGTGAGTCAGGAAATGTTGACCTGCTTTGGAGAGAGTGGGAAAAATTTGGCCAACTCCATTGGAACAGTTCCTTTATAGCGAAACGCTGTGATAAGAAGAAAAGAGGATCTCAGCAGTTACTTGGATACACTTTTATGTGAAAAACTTAAGTATTGTTCATTCTTTTCACTTGCATTAGATGAGTCTTGTGATGTTACAGATATAAGTCAGCTATTACTAGCAATTCGGATGGTTGACTATGACTTCAATATACATGAAGATGTTCTTGCACTGATACCACTTCTAAAAACTACAAAAGGCATAGATGTATTCAACGGAATAAATGCAAGGATTGACCTCAAAGCCGCGTCTAAAAAACTAGCGTCCGTTTGCACAGATGGGGCACCTGCCATGCTTGGACGAAAAGATGGCTTTATTGGACAATTTATGAAAAATGGAATTGAGGTACCCACGTTTCACTGTGCAATTCACCAAGTCACATTGTGCGCTAAATGGACAAATACAGTGCACACAATGAATGTGGTCGTCAAAATCGTTAATCGAATTCGAGGTGGCCACAACTCATTGACACATCGGAAGTTCAAAAAATTCCTTGATGAATGCGAGGCTGAGAACCTCCTGATGGGGACCTCCTGATGCATACTGAAGTTAGGTGGCTAAGTAGAGGTAAATGCCTAAAGCGATTTTTTGAATTACGAAAGGAAGTTGTCGACTTTATGGAATTTGAATTAAAAAATCATGATATTTTACATGAAATTAAGACAAAAGAATTTAACATTAATTTAGCTTTTTTGACAGATCTCACAACACACCTAAATTGCCTCAATATTTACTAGCAGGGCCGAAATAAATCTGTTTTTGATTTAGTTTGCTTAATCGAAGGTTTTTAAAAAAAAAATTGATATATTCATATTCAACTTAAATTTAAAAAGAATGTATCATTTTCCGTGCTTAAAAGAATTATTCGATGAATTTCAAGTTTCTCTTTTTGATTTTACGCCATTCATAACACATTTCCATAATTTGAAACAAAATTTCGAAAATAGATTTAAGGATTTTGAATGCGTTTCGCGACTGATGGCTCTTCTTTAAACTCCTATGACATGCAACATATATGAACAATCACCTGAATTTCAAATGGAGCTTTGTGATTTGCAATGTGACATTGAATTAAAACCCTCAACTTTAAAAGGACTTGACTTCTGGAAAAATCTAAATGTAAATGGACTTCACAAAGAAATATTACGTACTTATTCCATGTTTGGAAGTATGTATATTTGCGAAAGTGGGTTTTCTATTTTAAAACAAATAAAACAGCATAGGTCAAGGCTGACAAATAACCATCTGGAGGCGTTACTTAAGTTATCTTTAACAAAAATTGAAATTAATATTGACAAATTATTATGTAGTCAATAAGAAAAGTATATAATAAAAATATAATATAATATAAGTATATAATATGTATAATCTCCTTCAGTGCGTTGCACACTTTTGACCAACATTTTAATACCCCCTGCAAGGGTACAACAGGGATCATTATAAATTATTATAGCTAAATTTTTTCTAAATTGAAAATTGAAAATTATTTATAGGTAAAATTACTATTTTCAGAAACTATTCTAACGGAAATGTATTGTATACATATATTAACATCGGTAAATTTTGTTTTCTTTTGGATTGAATAAGCATATTCATTCAGAAGCTAATTAGTTCTTAACAAGAATTTTATTCTTGTTAGAATAAAGACCCCAAGAATGCCAAGTACGTCACTCAACAGGTTACTTGTGTTGTGACGCACACTTACCAGTGAAACAACAAACAGTTCTTGAGGGGTGATTCTACAGCAGTATCCCGGGTCTATGACATTCAAACGGTCCAAATATATTAATGCCATAATTAAGGAGCAAGGCGTGGCGTGAATTTTTCCCGCGGCCACGCAGGTGAGGCGATGCAGCGAATGTCCACGATGGGGCTCTGAAAAAATCTCAGCCGCATATTCTGCCAAAGGGAGTGAGACTTCCATTTCAGAATCCACTGTATCAGCACCATAATAAAGGGTTTTGCGAATTTGGTTTATGAAATCCCCGTGCTGCATCACCTGAGAAAGAAACTGATAAATGGCTCAACAATTTTTGTTTAAATCAGCTACCTTGTTTGGCGGAAAAAATTTTCTACGTCCCATATTCTATAACGTGCAAACAAAACAAAGTTACACACGATTTTTAGGGTTGCTAATAGCAAAATATATCGATATACATATGTATGTACAACGGACACACATACTTTTTAATGTCATATTTATATTGTGATATGGATTTTTACATATTATACAGAATACCGATTTTTAGAGAATGTACATTTTAAAACAATAATAAATATAACAATTACAAACTTAACAAGTATAAACGTTTATTCTTTCCAGTGTGAACGAACATTTTTAAGATACGCATGATATTTCAAGATATTTTCAAGATACGTCCCTTACAAAGTTAATTTGAACTTAAATTTAAAAATTGACAATTTTGGAAACAACTGATTTAAATATGGAGGTTTACTATCATTACAAAAGTCTATTGTGGTTTTTTGCATGATACAAAAAATAATTGAATGATTATAATTGTAAAAGGTTGTTTATGTGAGGGCCGTTGGGCCGCCGCTCAGCTGAACGGGTAGAGCGCATCCGCGCTGAAGAGCGCACCCGCGCTGAAGAGCTCATCCGCTCGCCCCTTTATGCACTCTCGCTCTCTCGTCGGCCGTCATCGATCGTCCGTTTTATTGTACTAGTTAGGTTAATCCTCTGTAATCAGCCCAATAAAGCTGACCGCTTTATTTTTAAATCCACGAAAATAATAATAATAATAATTCTGGGATCTTTTGCGGCAGCAACGCCCCCCTACATAAAATGGTTTTTTGAACACATTTGAGAGTAAAAATATTTTTTTAAAGTAATTTGTTTCCAATTTTCCTTCAAATCTAAAACTGTGGCCAAGAAGTAGAAATAAAGACTAAATAGCACTTCCGAATCATGTCCAAATATGTAGACAATGTACAAGTACCAGTGTACAAGTGTACAAGTACTAATACTAGTACCAGCTGAAAATCAGCAAGGGCCTACAATTAGTAAAAATGGGAATCGAACCCGATGTTACGATGTTGGGTTGGTATGAATTCATCACAGTGAATTGAATTCATGTCCTTTCATCACAGTGAATTGACATCATCGCAAGTGCACTTAGTCTGTCGTGCCCCATCACACTACGAGGTAGAGTTTTTATCCTCTTCATTGTTGAAAACGTTCTTTCGACGCTAGCCGTTGTGACTGGAAGAGTAGCCATGACCTTGAGAAGAAGATTGTTCCATCACAACACTCCAACAGTCTCAAAATTTCGGTTGATGAAATTTTGGTACACCATAACTTGTACTTAGCTTGAACTGCGGACAATGGCATTTCGTGGACCTAATTCTTCCAGTTCATCAATTTTTTTCTCGCAAGCATATCCTGGCAGTAGGAAACTGGATAAAATATCTTCGTTCTTGATGAATCTGTCCGTCAAATTTTGTATCAAGGTATCGATGCAAGCAAAGATTATACAGTACATAGATGGGACATCTCATACAAAGAAAAATTTTCTATGGCGGGTTCCATCAGTGGAACCCGCTGGAACGAGCGCGACAAGTTAAGTTTGAGAAATTTTTCGCGAGACAACGAATGAGGAATAGCCGAGTGGTAGAGTGCTTGGCTGGTGTGCAAAGTAAAAGGAGTTCAAACCGGGCTCGGGAAGCCCATTTTTTTTAATTTTAAATATATTTATATTATTTTTTTATTATTTTAATGAGTTTTCCTAAATTTATAATCCAATAAAAAAAATAAAAAATTGTAAAATCACCTTAACATCGTCTCAGTTCGTAGTGGAACCCGCTGTAAAAATGTCTATAAGTGCGGGTTCTACGGCATTTTGGCAGGCCGCGTCGTGGAACCCGCTCTCAAGTGTTTTCATTTTTTCCGTCGTGGAACCCGCTGTAATAATGAAAACATTTGAGAGCGGGTTCCACGACAAACGGCTGGCAGATGAGATAGGGAGAGAGAGAATTCTATTTTTAGATCGTAACATCTTTGGAACGATGAAAGTTTGAAACGTTGTAATCGAACCAATGTAAGAGTAAAGAGATCAGAAATATCTTTTACTATCCTTACTCGTCAGCTCTGTTTTTGGTATGGATTCTAGCGCCTCCTCTAACAATTTTAAGTATTATAAAATCATCTTCGAGGGTGGCCTAGATGAATAGTGCGCGCTCCTTATTCATGGGGTCCTGGGTTCGATTTCAATTGTTTCAATTTTGATAAAGTTTTATAGTTTTAAAGTTTTTTTTAGTTTTCTTTTTTTGTTTAATTTTTTTTTTTTTTTATTTAAGTTTTTGATTCTTTTTATATTTACTTTTATTTTTTTATAATTTTTTTTTTTACTTTTAATTTTTACGTTATTATTATTCTTTTACAATTGTTGTAAAAATAAGTGACGGACGTGTCAGATGACAAAATGCCGGAAGGACTCCCTTGAAATTTTATTAGCCGGACATAATGAAGAATTAAACAATTTTACAATTGTAAAATTAAAGAAAAACATAATTAAGGAAAAATAAAAAAAAAATAAATATAAAAAGAACGAAAAAGTTCAAAGTCCTTACGAGGATTTGAACACAGAAAAATTACTCATAGAGTAACTACTCTATGCATTACGCTACCATCCTGTCTCGATCTGCGGCGACTAAAAATACTATTTTTTCTACCAACTACCACATCGGCGCATCGGAAACAGAAACGTGAAATTGAAATTGAAATTTGGAAGCCAAAACATTATTACTCCGTCGTGCGAGCAGTCACACATACATACATAGGTTCACATTTTTGTTGACGGATACATGTAATGAGTTCTAAAAATATAATCGTATGCATGTGCGTTCCCCCCTCACCAACAAGCTCGACGCAAAAAGTTGACCGTTTTGGGCCCTGATGTCCCATCTATGTACTTTATAATCTTTGATGCAAGGAATGAATGTGGTGACTCTGAAATACTCTTCATTCGATGTCGTTTGCGGATTCGCACGAAATTTTTGTCGTGACGTAACTCTGGGAGCTTGAATTTCAGTGTCAAAAAGATCTGCAGAAAATTTTGACGCTACTTGAAAAATTTCTGTGAAAGTGTCGTTAGCTGTTTCCCGCATTTGTCGGAGTGAACTCAATACTTCATTTGTATACTGTACAGCGTATACTAAATCTAATGATTTATTTTGGAGAAAAATCGACAGTGGAAGGGTCAAACTGAACAGTTTTTCGCAAACAACAATGCTGACTAAAAATTCACTTTTTTGACTCGCTGCGTGAAGAGTTTATGCCGTTGAAGAAATAGTATACGTTTTTTGAGCGATTTCTTCTAAAGCTATAACAATGCATTCAAGCAGTTCCAAAAACACAATAATACTGTCATGCCTTTCGATAAATCTTTCTTTTTACTGTCTGGAGCATGTTTTTGAATAGTTTTTTGAAAAATTTTGTTTGCATTCGAATGATTCTTGAACAAATTTACAATTTGACTAATAACTCCAAGACAATTACGTATTGCTGGAACAGACATGGCATTCGACAGAGCATGGTTGAAACGGTTACTGGCACTATGAATGTATCTTGCCTTGGGATAATTTTACCCGCATTTTGTTAGGGTAGACAGCCTGAAAAGTTTGAAAAATCAAAATTTTGTGCGCTGGCTTCGAAACGAAATCGCACGCACACATGCCCCCGTGTATGTGAATGTGTGACACGCATACATTCAAAGAACAATCCAAGCGCAGACCGACTTTCTTCGTCGCGCTCCTTTCAGCGACTGAGAAACAGGAAGCATTCTATGAGAATATGAGCGTAAGATGAACGAACGATGAGCGTAAGACAGCATAAGAAATCCTCTCTGGGGCCTGCTGGGGCATGTCGCAAGAAATTTTTGCGTCCATTTTCGTTGTATGAAATGGGTTGTCTATATGCTGTATGGTTAGTGGTTTCAGTCTACTGATCTATATGTTCCTGTTACGTCAGGTTTCTTCTACTAAAGACTTTTTGATGAAAAATTTTAAAAAGAAAAAATTGTTGAATTCAAAGATTTCGGGAAGGGCCAGGAACCCCCCCTTCGAACTTTCATTAACATCCATTAACATAATGATACCGAATCCTGGAAAGGACCACATCATTCACCACTTGGCGTCCACCAAAGGACCACCACTTGTCGCCCACCTTGGTTGACGATTAATCTGGAGTAAGCACATTGAATGCACGCAGATGCACCTAAAGCTAGCAGCCTCCATTGGATCATAAACCCTCGATCGCATAAACTACAATACGCAAAAAACTACAAAGCCTTGAAAAGCGTTTGTATTTTTCTTTAATCGGGTTATAAATTAATAAGGCTCGATTCCGGTTTCGTGGATCGCGTGACAGTGGAAAATGCTGATGATTGCACCCAGGCACGGACACCAAAGGCGGGTATGCTGAGTCGGCATCTAGAAAAACTGGGGTGATTTAAGAATCATCCAAGATTTTTACCAACTTTTTGTCAACCTTCAGTAATGTTAACTACTCCCTCCTTAGAAATAAGACCGTCCCCGGTCGCCTTAAATGTTTCGGCAACCTGTCGCATTTACCATGCATCTGCTAATTAAAAAGATTACTTCCACGCCGACAGCGATCCTAATGTCCATTGACCCAGACGACTTTACTTCATTTTTGAAGGTTTGGATTGTTTTGGTTGTTCATCCTCTAAAGCATTGACATACTTAGCACATGGCTATGCCTAATAAGGACTTTAATATTAGAAACCTCTATTAGGCTAATAATGGTGACCTCTGTGGGGTGATGGACTTAAAATTTTCATAATTAAAAATGCTTGGATTTATGATATTTGCTTTTGTAAGTGTGGCCGTGAGCATCCGTTTCTGTATCTCTGTAATAAGCATTATATTTCTGGCCAAAAGAACTCCGCATAAATGTGGAGTGTCAACCAGGTCCTTCTTTTTCGCCTTAAAGATTTCGTTGACAGCATCGGGTACTTTGTTGATCTGCCTTTGCGTTTCGGTGTTAATGACTACTTGTCTATTGCTTCATTCAATTAACCGCGACTCGAACATTTTTAACATTTCCAGGTCAGCTGCATCAAAAGTTCCCGCTACCACCTTAAACGCGGTGCCTAAAAAGTCTAAAAAGGCTTCCGGCAAT